GAGCATAACGTTATGAAAGACAGAATGTCTGAGTTCTGTACTCCAGAAACTGAACCTAAAAATATTCTAACTAAAGCTATGCTACTTCAGGTTGTATCAAGTACAACTTTAATACTACGAAGTTAGAGAAGTAGTAGTCAGTGTTACAACTATTAGCAAAAAATTCATAAGCAATGAAAATTAGTGACCTGAGCAGGTATTAATTAAATGTATAATTCTCTACTACAGCAGCAATCAATTTCTAGGACAAGGTCATGTAGGATCATCCATATAAAGCCCTCACTGGTAACTCCATACAAGTACTGAAACCTCCACAGCTGGCACACCACAGCTATGCAAATGCTTGCTGAGCACCTGAAAGGGCTGTGCCACCCCGAATAACCAAGGACACACATCAGGGCAACAGAGCGTTCTCATGGTAGTCTATAAGTCAATAATGACTTCTCCTGGGCAAACGGCTGATTTTTTAGAGAGTTAAAATACATTTCCATGTGTGAATGTTAGTTTTATCATACTGCACTGTGAAGACATGGTCAAGGCACATCATGACCAACAGCCTTACTTCTAGTGAGTGCAAATATCAACTGCCAGCTGAAACACGATGGAAACATTAGTCCGCCAGGGACAACAGCTGTCGACTCTACCCTGCTTCCTACCACATACTTCTTTTGTTTCTTTCTACCAGTTTCCTTTCTTCACTTCCTTTGCTTTTTTTTCTTCTTCTTCTACCTAATTTTAGCAACCACCACCTAAGCTTAGTGTCTCATGTGTTTTCTTGCCTTTCGCAAGTAAACGACGCTGTGCCTCTTACAGATTACCACCTGATACCCGTCTTTAATTTTTATGAATTCATTTTTATCCTTTGTTTAATGCAGTACTATTGAATGATAAACATGATACCAGGCCTAGAGATCTGCATTCTAAAAGTCTTATTATCAGAGTCTATTCTCCTATTCAATGTAAAATATAATATAGAGAACATAGGAACACATTAAAATGGAAAAGATACCAAAAGCTAGTGTAAAACTAAAAGGATCAAGAAATATGACGTAGAATAAGAATAAGAAGACAATGTAGGAAAACAATAAAGATACAGGAAAAAAAAAACCTGTAATGATAATTTTATGCAGTTAGGATGTTATAAGCAGGTTATTTTGGCATAAAGGTACATTCTTGGATTTGGAGGACTATAAGATTTGTGCTTCTTCTAACAGATAAAGCTAAAAATATGAAGTGACAAGTCTCAATTTCTGTTTACCTTGAAATTTATAGTTCTAATTCTATAAAGTAAAGATGGGTAATCAAAACCATTAGGAAGTTTTTAATACGAAAATCATATGCGGCTCAAAACACTTCCTATTGATCAGTATAAATACAATGTGCTTCAAATCAAGTTTCAGGACTACTCTGCCAAAAAACAAGCAATAAATTAGCAAGTCAAATAAGGAAGCACACAGATACAAAAATAGAACCTTAAACCCAATTTTTTCTTCATTATGTTATTCCTGCCATCAAAAACATACTATCGAAGGGCCAGCCCAGTGGCATAGTGGTTAAGTTTGCACACCCCAATTCTGTGGCCCCAGGGTTTGCAGGTTCAGATCCCAGGTGCGGACTTCACACCTCTTGTCAAACCACGCTGTGGCAGCATCCCATATACAAAAAAATAGAGGAAGACTGGCACAGATGTTAGCTCAGGGCCAATCTTCCTCACCAAAAGAACCAAAAAAAATCCCAAACTATTGAGAAGAGAGAACACAGGTACCTCTTTTCTCATAATCTTTTTCGCAAGCTGTACGAGATGAACTTTTATAACACGTAGTACACTACAGTGGTCAAAAGCATGTTCTCGGTAGCTAAAATGTCAAGGTTTGAACCCCTACTCTGGGCTTATGAATTGTGAGACTTCAGGTAAGTCACTTAACCTTTTTATGCTGTGAGTTCTTTGGCTGTAAAATAGGATAAAGCTGTTGCGAGGACAAAATAAGTTAAATATCTTTAAGTGTTAACAACCAATCTGGCACAAAAAGCATTACCTAAATGTTACCTACCATTTTTGTTGTTATTAAGAAATGTCTTAAATTGTTCCTCCACACTTTATAGCAATCTAACATCAACAACCCCAATATTTCTGATTTCCCTTCTCCACTCATTTTTCTCTTAAGCACATATCACTAACTACACATTTCATTTAGTTGTCTCGTAAATTGTCTCCCTCATGTAAAAATAAGGCAGGCATTTTTGTTTTATTCATGGATGTACATCCAGAGCCTAGAAAAGTGCCCTCCACACAGCAGATCCCTGATGGATACAATATCCTGGTAATTCTAAGACACATATATTCTTACATTTTATAAACTTCTCTGAAATTGGGATGTAATTTAATTATACACTCACAGTTATCTTACAATTAAAACTGCCGACATAATTCTTTCTTTAGGGGGTATACAAAATATATGACAATTAACAACCCAGATCTGATCAAAGACTGGATTGTCAATGAATGAATTAATGAAGGAAAGAACTAAAGGGACAGATAAACTTCAGTTTTACCTAACCAAAATTCATGCACTTTGAAGAATCATTTTCATCTCACTTTCCCTGACTATAAGCAGGTTACACCAAGAGAAGAGTACCTGTCATCTAGATCATCTTCTTGGGCATACAAACCCCTTGCTACCTATCCCTGATGATGATTCATTTACTATCATTTGCCTAGTGGATCAGTGAAAAATGTTCATTAGCTTTCTGAGCAACTTAGTTCTAAACTTTGGAAATAATATTCCTGTGAAAGCTGCTGTTTTTATTTATTCTTACAATTGTAAACAAATATAATGCTTAAAATGGCTTTTTTACATTCTTCAAAAGAGTATTTCCAAATGACAAACTGTTTATATATAAACAGCGAAGATAAAACTTTGTACAGATTTTAACAAAAATTAAACTCACAACACTATGAAGAAGATGAGAAAGAATGTTCTAAGAACAAAAGAGGGAAAAATATTGCATACACTTTTTAATAGCACAAAGCAGCAGTAATACACATAAAATTTTGAGTGTCAAGTGAATATTTCTAGAGATCACCCACAGCTTCTATCATATTGTAAAAGAGGTACATAATCATCCCTTTACCAGACTTTAAAAACTACTGTAATAGATGCAAAACTTTCAGTTCACTTGATAAACTTCACTAAGCCAAAATCAACATGAGGAGCACCGCCCAAAACGACAAAGGAAAGTGCAGTGCAAACTAAGGAGAAATCATGTCCATTAAAGATGAGAACACAGGATGGACAGGTATTTAGTTATTAGAAGACAAAAGTTTTGATTAACTAACAGCATAGCAACAGAAAGACATGATTGGGGGAAGTGCAATTAAGTGTAGCTTTGAAACTGAAGTTCAACAATGCTTTTATGAACAAACTGTGTTGTTATATCGAGGGCTTTTTTATGTCAGTGTTTCCTATCAATTTGGTAATCACAAAACATCCAACTATTAGGTTTTAGATTAAATGCAGTAAGTACATACAGTTGAATTAATAAATCTACCAACTGAGAATAGCATATTAATGTACAATCTCTAAAGTGATATAAAGTTAGCTAACATTTCAAAGTGGGTTTGCATAATGAACAAGCTCTGATTTTTGTCAAATTACTGTCTATAAAAGTCCATGGGCCTATTTCTGATTCCCTGAGTTTACACCAACAAGAGGGAGCCCAGCTATCATTAAAACGGCACAGTGTATTTAAGGTATGACTAAGAAGTTCATGTTTCTAGGATTCTGACTTGAGGAAATGATCCAGAAAATCGGGAAAACTTAACAACAAGTCTTGCGGAAAAGAGAACATACTGCAAGTGATCTGAGGAAGCCCTTTTAGGATGTGTGCGAAGGCGGACACTGGCGCCCTCAAGATCATGCTACCTCAGAAAAATTAAAGTAACTATCTACCATTAAAACAATTAGCAATTCACAGAGAATTATATAAAGGTTTTAAGGAATTTGTTAGTGTGACTTAAAACTCTTGAACAATTTTGGAAATAACTTTTTGCTATTACTTTAAGTTGTACCACAAGTAGTACCATGGCATAAGGTGTTTCAGAAAAAATGTTAAGAAAACACTTTTACATAATTTCTCTATAAGTGCCTTTGGAATATATACCAATATACTTCAAGTTTTAACATTAGTAATTTCCCATCCTTACTAAAATAAATTCTAGCCAGCAAACACTCATCCTCACATATCCACTCTGCTCCTTTGCAATCTGGAAACTCCTTCCTGAGACTTCCTAACCTTAATTTTATATTCAACGTGATCGTATACAAAAGGTCATCCTTCTCACACCATTTCAAAGACCATAATGCAGTGAAGTTATAGTGAATTTTCCTTTCTTTAGTCTCAAAAAGAAACTTACTACAAAGCAAGAATTATAAAACCAAAGCCTTCCTTGAACATAGGGAAAATGAACATAATTCTAAGACTGAAAACTATTTTTAATCAAAGGAAATGTCTGCTAGGTAGAAAACTGCCATCTAACATATACTCCATTTGCTTTAGGACCTTCTGAACTAATTATTAAAGTTTAGGTTAAAAACAACTTGGGCAGCTACTGGCAGTGACAACTATTTTAAGCCAGGTGGCGAAATGAAGGATCCTGAGCCGAGTGTATTTCCACTGAATCCCCTGAGGGCCACCAAGCCGGGTTCCATCCTCTATAGCTCGAGGGGAAAGACAATCTTGCTATTGTAAACAAGCAGCAATAATATGTCCAACAGTACAAAATATTTCCTCCCACCAACCTAAAAGATATAAATTAATTTGCAACATTATTTTCTTGATCTAAAGTTACTTCAACTGAATCAGAGAGCTGACTCATCTTTAACGTCACTAAAATTATGGGATAATCCTACAATAGCCAGGACAATATAAACATGTTTATGATGAGCCAAATATACTGAACTCTCACACAAAGGACTAAAAATGAACGTAATAAAACCCACCTTCATTGGGAGATGTTTTCAACCTGGTGCAAATTCCATAGACGTCGCCATAGCTTTCCTGTATTTTTCGTAATGCATCTGTAGACCTGAGCTCCATGAGGGCCCGCAGCTCCGCGAGCGTAATTCCAAAGTCTCCATCATGATTAGCTTCCTTCAAAGAGTTTTTTACTCCACCATATGCAACTGAGTTGTTTGCCATGTCGCCCATTACAAGTATAATTTATTAGGAGGAAAATGTTTCCCAAAAGACTCTAATTTTCACTTGATATATTTCCAAGATGAAAATCTTCTAAATATCAAAATCTTTCTTAAACCACACACTCATTGTATGACTTTGTACAGCAGCATCAGCAGCATTTCCCAGAGAAGTATCTTGACCTTTGGCCCATGACTAGTTTCTTCACATCAAGCATGAGATGTACATATCTGCAGAAGAAAACATTTAAGAGTTAATAAAATCCATCTTAGGGTATTATGCATATAAGTGTACTTTCTAAATGTCATCAGGTAGCTAATCACAGTATACCATTGAATTATAAAAAAATATTTAATTGTCATCTCATGCCTTTAAAATGTTTTACATGATAAAAAAATCAAAGTATAACTTCTAAATAAAATTGTATATCAAAACACATTAGATCTCACCATTACTAAATGAAACTGCATTTCACATGACTGAATTTTATGTTCCATTCAGTATGACTGTTATTAATAGTTATCATTAAGCACTTATGTTCCAAGCACTATACTAGTTGCTTTAAATTCATTCTCTCATTTAATCACCACAATTTAATCCCATGAGGTGTTATTATGCCTTACTCTACTGAGAAGAGTAAGCTTCAGAGAAATTGAGTTGTTTTTGCACAGCTAACAAATGCCTGAAACCAATGAGCTGGGATATCTCCAAGTCCATGTTTCTTCTAACATACAATCCTATTTCTCTAAACGTTTCATATAGAATAACCCCTGAAAGGGCAAAAAGCACAACAAACTTTCTAATACACTTTCTTGCAATTCTCCTTGGCCCCTCTGTGACGCCATGTGTAGCTCTGTTATGTATCCTCATTGTTGAGAAATTTAAAGATGGCTTTAAAGTTTGGCTTCCTAAAACGATCTTCCACCACGATTTCTGTCACATGTCACCGCCTTAGGTCCTCCCCTGACTGGCTATATAAGAAATTCCCTACCCCTTAGTCACTCTTTACTGTTACTCTATTTTTATGTTCTTTGCTAGCCCTTAGGATTATCTGCCATTATCTTGTTCATTTATTTATTTGTTATCTTTTTGTCTCCCTCCACCAACAATATTAGTTCTGAAGGCAGGGCACAGGTTTTTATCCATTATCATATCCTGAGAACCTAGAAATGTGCCAGGCACATGGGAGACACTCAATAAATGTTTGAGGAATGAATGGATGCATTACTTTAATTTTTCCTGACAATACTTTCAAGTTCTCCTTACTCTAAACTTCCAGAAGATGAGAGTTCAACTCTTCTTTCTCCATATACATCCTTTAAACAATCATCTCAAAGTTTTTAACATGCCCAACAATGGATTCTTCTCACTCCCTAATTAGAGCTCCCTCCCCCTCTCACCATTATCCTAATCACCTGGGCTTGAGATCGGAAATCATCTTTAATTCCATCCACCCCAGCTTTAGTCAGTTACTAAATTCTTCCCTTCAGTTAATTCCTCCTTTGAAAATCCTCTTCTACATTATCGTTTTTCTTGCTGATCTTCAAGTCCCCCTGAACAAATTATAACACTACCCCTGCAGGTTCTCTCATTCTAGTATCTCCTACATCCATTCCCTTCTGCATTTTGCTGCTACATTTAGTTTTATAAGTAGGCATCAGACCCCTATATGTAAATTTATAGGATGAAAATACAATCCCATTGCTCATGCCTGTTTGGCATTCAAGCCTAAACTCTATTTTACCTATTCAACCTCTCTCTCCCCCCAAATATCCTGCCCCACATTTCATAAATAAAAAGCTTAATGATTAGGAACTAGAAAAGATTACTGCCAAGTGAAATTAATCTTCAGCTATGAAACTGTCATCGGGATGTTTGCAAAACATGGTATGTGGTTCTCACAGTTCAGTATCCATCAAAATCACCTAGGGTACTGTTAAAATACAGATTGCAGGGCCCCATCTCCAGAGTTTTAGTTTCAGTCGGATTAGGGTGGGCTCCATAATTTGCTTTTCTAACAAATTCTCAGGTGATATGATGCCATGTATCCAGGGAGTGCACTGTGAGAACCACTGCACAGGAGAATGGGCTGAAAACTTCGAATCCACACCAGCTGGTAGAGAAGTTTGCTTGCCTGGGTTAAATGTGCAAGGATGTGATAGTTATGGACTCTGTAAGACATTTTCTTTCATTGCCTGCTTCCTCCCATTTCACAAATCCTTATGCTTGCCCAATTATTACCAATTTTACTCATCTCCTAGGCAAAGTGGGCTTCCTCCTAATCACACATCAATTATTATAATAACCCAACTTCAAAAACTGGAGACGGTGGTTATTTGATAATCTCCCTGAGTTTTCATACCCAAAATACGTTGGTATCTGAACCATCATGGCAACTCTAAAATAAATTATTATTATTAATTTAAGAGAAAATAATTAAGATTCACAAGTCTGTGTGTTGGGGGCATGTGTGTCATCATTCCTCTGGTTTCCACAAAGAGGAATTTTCCTTAACAACTTCTGGCTCCCAACTCACCCATTACCACTGAGGTGAAATGAGCTGCCTGACAGATTTTTCCAGGAGCAACTAAACGTATGTCACTTCCTCACCTCTCTGCCTTCTTTTGGAAGGCAGATGTCTGCAGGACTCATGCATTCTGGTTTGAGTTAATTAGGGGCAGATCCCCAGGTTAAAAAACCTATTGTTCAAAAAAAAAAACCTATTGTTCAAAGTGCCCAGGGTGGGGGCAAATAACTGTTTAGTTCTGGGTTCAATATTAGAACCTCACTATTGTCACAAAAAAACAAACCTTCATTTCAGCTTTAGTCAGTAATAAAACTAGTATTTTTATTCCTACATACCAATCTTTGTCTTTTCTCTTGACAGAATTCAAGCAGGAGAGAAGGGTGTTATTTACTAGGTGCCCTTAAATTTCTCAACAATAAGGATACATAATAGAGTTACACATAATAGAGCTGGAATTTGAATCTCAACTTGTGATTCAAAAGCCAGGCTCCTTCCACTGTACTGTCTCCACTTTAAGTCTTCACGTTTATTAGGTTGAAACGGAAGCCTCCGTAGGTCAAAAAAACAGCCAATATCAAATACACCAATTTATATAATAAAATCAGAATTTAAGAGACATTATAGTGGATATTTGTTATTTGTCACCTCAGCATCCCTTCCCCCATTTTTCAGCAATAGCCCTACTTTTTGTTTAGGGGTCTGCCCTCCCCAACTCTCAATGTAGTCCATTCCCACATCCAGACACTGCCCTGGCCATAACGATGACAGGTTCAAGAATGTGCATGTGACTCAAAGGGCAACATGCAGCAACGAGGCTGCTGCTGTGACTCTGGGGCAGAGGCTTGTTTCTTCTCACAAACTTAAATCTGAGATGTGGAAAGCCCCCGCAAATAGATCTAAAAGGGAGAGACAGAGGAAGGGGGAAAGGAGATGTGCCTGTTAGTGCTGGATCATTTGAGCCCCTTGGTCAATCAATGCCTAAAGTCTGTCCCATCTCTGATCTTTTCAGTAATTTGTCACTAAACTTCTTTTGGGGTTGGAGTTTCTATCACTTTGCAACCCACAGGACCTTTGACGAGAATATGATTAAAGAAAGGGAAATCCAGGCAAAAGCACCCCGTGCAAATGAGCCACTTTCCAAAAGTGGACTATTTACCTACAAATTATACAGCAACCAGGTTGTTGTCTATTTCTGGATCATCTACAGCCTCTTCCACTACTTTCCTATCTGCCGACTCTTCACTCTTCCATTGACCTAACTAGTGGATTGACAAAAATGCTAAGCACAACAAAAAAGTTTTGCTTTTCACTTGTTAGCTACAACATGGCAATCAAGAGAGAGACCCACTGTTTGGGATTGAGATACAACAGAAAGTAGAACATCCATTTTGCTTCTCTTTGTTCTCTAAAAGATATGATCTCGCCTTTAAAACATTTAAGAAGAAATGTTAAGAGGAAGCTGAGTCCTCAAAAGAGGAGGATTTTAAAGAAAACACATAGCTACTCTATGTGGGCCTCCTGGCCTACATAACTTATTCCAGAATCCCTAGATGATGTCTCTGATCAAAGCACCGTTGGCAGTCTTTAAGGGGTTATGGAAGAAAACAGGTGGTTTAAGACTAGAGTTGGGCAAAGTCAGTCTTCACAAAGAAGAATAAGGTGGATTCCAACTGACACATAAGCTTTACTGTGAATGGGTAGGGCCCCAAAAGAAGACAAAAGGATGACTGTGAGGTCCTAGTAATGAGTGAAGCTCATAAAGAGACAGCTTTGATGATAATACAATTTCAGTTCCTTCCTTCACAAGGTCACCTGACTTACAGATCATGGAACAGCTGTATGGATGTTATCCAGACTCAACAATAACAACAAAATCACATATGAGAAAAACTGAAGGAAATATAGGGAAATTAAATTATGGGATGAAATATGGCACTGGATGAAATATGGAGCTCTGAAAATGATGATTATTATATAGTAACATGAGATTCCTGCAGGCAAGATAGAAAATATATGCTAATTTAACTAAGTGCATTAGACCAAGAGGAACAACCTAGAAGGTGTTTTTTAATGCATTATTGGGTCCCTAATGCCTGACTCTTCTAAACTTTTGTTATTGATGTGAAAACAGAAGTAATGTCTCTCCAATCTGTAGATGACTTGAAGCTCAGTAAGTCCGCAAACATGTGAGATGACAGAATCGGGATCCAGAAAGAGGTGGGAATGAGAGGCTAAATTTAACTAGGTACAAAAGTCTGATCTCCTACACTTCATTCCAAAAAACATAACTGTACAAATCTGACATATGAAAAATGCAATCGTGTAAATTCAAAGACAAAGGTTCAGTTTACTCAAAGCTCGGTATGCATTAACTTGATGCTAATTACCATGATGTAACTGCTTTTCCCTCCCACTCTCAAGCTGTCTCAGGCAGCAAGGACAGGAGTGTAATATCTAACAAAGGGAGGTAACAGAAACAATTCTATTTTGTCTTGGGCAAACATACTGCTAATGTTAAAGCTTCATTGGTAAAATACAGACATACTAACAGCACACATCCTTAAATGTGTTAATATATGTAAAACAATTTGAACTTAGCCTGGCAGACAGTAAATGGTAAATATATGTTAGCTATTTTTATTGTTATTTAAGAACATTTGCAGATACATTCTGCAGAGAATAATATCCTCCCTCACCAGATGT